ATATATAAAATATGTCATCATCATCCTTGGAGCCTTTTTCCAACTATTTGGGGTCTGCTACACAAATCCTGCTCCGCCATTCTGCTCTATCAAGAGCCATACCTTTAGTGAGGCCATAAGTCCCCATATCTTTTCTCACTACTTCCAATCATGTCCTTTGGGGATGCCCTTTTTGAACCTTCCACTTGAACTAAGTCGCATTTCCTAATAGGTGTTGTAGTAGGTTTGTGCTGCACATGTCTAGCTCACTCAAGTTTACTTTTTCTCATCTTATCACCTATTGGTGCCACATCGGAGTTCTTTCAAAGGTATTTATTTCGAATTCTATCCCTTCTTGTCTTGCTACTCATCCATCTCAACATCTTCATCTCAACTACACTCATCCTATAGGTATGTTGCTTCTTGATCGCCTAACGTTCCGCCCATAAAGCAAAGCTGATCTCATAGCTGTCCTATAGAACTTGCCCTGCAGCTTCATTGGCATGCGGCGATCACATAAAAATTTGGTTGAGCATCTCCACGTCGCCCACTCGACGCTAATTCTATGTGGAATATCTTCCTCAATCTCTCCATTTTCCTGGATTATCGACCCAAGGTAACGAGAGCGCACTCTTTTTTGTATTTCTTGACCGTCATTCTTAACTACTTTCTCGTCTCTACTCCTATTAATATTAAACTTGCATTCCATATACTCTTAGTCCGGCTAATTCTAAAACCATTGGATTCTAGAGTATCCCTCCAAAGTTCTAACTTTGTGTTGGGATCGTTTTGGGTCTCATTGATCAAAACTATGTTATCTGTGAACAACATACAATATAGTACGTCATCTTGTAGGTGCCTAGTTAAGTCATCTATAACTAAAACAAAGAGGCATGGGCTCAATGCTGATCTCTGATGTAGGCCTGTTGTCACTGAAAACTCACTCATCTCTCACTAATTATTTGCACATTAGTTAGTGCTCCCTTGTACGTATCTCTCACGAAGTCGACATAGTATCTGGAGACTCATTTCTTTTCCAACACCCACCAAATTAAATCTCGAAGTACTCTATTATATGCTTTCTCTAGATCAATAGAGACCATGTGGAGGTCTTTTCCCTTTGTCCTAAATTTCTCTATCAGTTACCTAAGTAGGAAAATAGCCTCAGTTGTTGACTTCCTAGCATAAAACCGAATTGGTTTTCTGATACACTCTTTTTATGCCTTAGTCGTTGCTCAATCACTCTTTCCCACATCTTCATAGTGTGACTCATAAGTTTGATCCCTCGATAGCAATTCTATATGTCTCTTTTATTCTTATAAATAAGTACAATAGTACTTTTCCTCCATTCATCTGGCATTTTCTTTGTTCTCAACACCTTGTTGAACAACTTGGTCAGCCAGTCAATGCCAATCTCCTCCATGCACTTTCTAATTTCTATTGGGATACCATTTCTATTGGGATACCATCTGGTCCTAAAGCCTTTCCTATCTTCATCTTATTCAAATCTTCTTTCAATTTTATATGAATTCTATAAAATATGTATTTATACAATTTATATTTTTATGGGTTTATATATTTTGGCTCGAGCTTGGCCTAATGCTTTTTTGGGTTCAGTTGGTGGTTTTTTAGATCTAGGCTCAGCCCGGGTCTAGCCAAAATAATTTTGGATGACTTGGGCCAGGTATGGCCCAGGCCGAGCCCTAGGCATAAGTTGTGACGAAAGCAAGGGTGGCTCAAGAATTCTAGAACTCTGGCCCTCGTAACCAAAATCAGTCTCTGTGACATTGAGTTACTTCCTTTTTGCATGTGATACACTTAGGTGGCTAATTCTGAGTACAAGATAAAAACTGAGTGAACTTGTTCACTAGTTCCTATATTGGAGTCAATGAAATCATGCCAAGTGTTTCCTGCAATACTAAGTGTGAAAAGTCTTGTGAATGGGACCATGATGGAACCTATCCCATTTGGAGTGTCCAATGATCAATCGGAGGTACAGCAGAGCAACCAAAATTTCCAATCAGCCTTCCTTGGGACTCTTGCCCTTATCTGGTCGTACTAATGCACCTTTTCGATTGAGAGATTGTGTCCTGCCTTGTGCTATCTCCTAGAGAGTCCTATCCTTGTTAGATAAATTCTCCTTCGGCAATTTGGATCAAGAGATTGTGTGCTACCCTGCTCTTGCTCCCAGAGACACATCCTACCAGTTTTTGTTCCTGAGGGCAAGGGGTTGAGATGGTAATGGGGAAAGCTAGGAGGTATCAATCTCTCTATAAATTGCAATGGGAGATATGAGTTTATGTCACATCCTACTAAGGGTCTAAATTTTGTGAACCCTTTCTGAGATTATGAGTTTATGTCACATCCTACTAGTTTTTGTTAACTGAGGCAAGGGGTTGAGATGGTAATGGGGAAGGCTAGGAGGTATCAATCTTTTTCTATAAATTGCAATGGCAGATAAAACTTCTAGCAATAGTTAATTCCAAGGGTCCAAATTTTGGGATCCCTTTCTGTGATTATGAGTTTATGTATCCTGTAGGGACCTAGTCATACAGTCATGCCTTGACTCTGGGAACGAAAGGAGTTGATGAGTTGTGGCCGCAGAGTTTGGTGGCTTACGGTGAAACTTGTTGAGCTGACATGGCAAGCCTATTAGCATGAGTGACTAGCTTGACTCTTATTGTCTGAGTCATTTAAGCTGGAAGTGTTCATCCAAGGTGGGAAATGCATCCCGAGCAATATGATTTGAAAGAAAACATAGAAATTTTTCAATTTTTTTGAATCATGGGGAAACATATGGGAAATGAGCTTTCTCATTCTATAGGTATGTTTCTCTCAATCAGAAGTGGATTCACCATTACATGGGAACCACTTGCCAATTGTAAGCTAATCTAAAACACATTCTCGATGTTTTATTCTTGTTGGTTGCATGTTTAATGATTAAAATTGAAGAATTTGGGTTTGAAACCTTTTTTAGCATTTGCTTACATTTTTCTCTAGCAATCATCTGGATTCCTAATATTATAGATTCTCGTTGCTTATTCTTTTGTTATCTAATGATAGTCATTATTGAAATCATGGATCCGATGGCTAACCTTGTAGAAGCATAATGTTTCTCTGTATAATCATTTTATTCAGATTTGTTAGTTGTGAAAGAATATTCTAATGTGTTATATGATAGTTTTTGATATTGTTAATACCTGATTCTTTGGTTATAAATGGATGCTGTATTGTAAAATCTCGTGATGTGTTTTTGATTAATTTTTGGTTTATGAATATCTAGTTCCTTGATTATAATAGGTCAACTTGCTTGATTTTCAGGCCACTCTTTGCCAGTAGTTTATTGAGCATCATACGAACCCTTTTAGAACAAACGCAACAAGATGAAATGCTCATTTTAGGCTGCAATACTCTTGTTGACTTCATAAATAGTCAGGTATATCACGCTTGTCTTCTTGGATTAGTTTTGGGATTATTTATTACTGTCTCTATGTACTATTTATGTCAGAGAATTGTCAGCATAGACTGCTGGATTGTACTATTGTCCAGCTGTTGGAGAGTTTCTTCATTGATCATCTAAATGTCTTTCCTCACTAGTTAATTGTTGAATGGAAATAGGTGGATGGCACATACATGTTCAACTTAGAAGGCCTCATACCTAAACTTTGTCAACTCTCTCAAGAAGTGGGGGAAGATGAAAGGGCTCACAATCTGCGTTCAGCAGGTTTGCAAGCTATAGCTTTCATGGTATGCCTGTTTCTTTCTTTTCTGTATTGCTTTTAAATGGACTATTGCAAGCATATTTATGTTTTCTTAATCATCTTTGACATTTCTCAATGTGTGTATGTGCTTGCTAATGGAACTTTTATTTGGCTATTATCAAACTGAATGTATTATAATTTATAATCGCATACAAAGTGGAAACTTCAACAATCAGAATCTTTTTCTTGAAGAACCATAGAGAGAATTTCCACTGGTATTTGGCTAGTCCCATCATAATCCATGTTACCATTTCGTTGGCTATAGGAAGCAGTGAATTGTTTATATTACACAGCTCACTTTACAGATTGTTGTCATGTAAAGGGATGTATACCATGGTTGTTCTAGGCCCCGTCTTAAGGTAACTTCCATTCTTGATAGTAAGATGATGTCACTATGGACCTATCCCAAGTACCAAGTTTTTAATGGATGGGAGTTTCTGGATTCTCATATGATAAAACTACCACAAGAAGGAAGGTGGAGTGCCTAACTTTGTGAAATCGTATATGTGCCTCATTTAGTAATATTATAATATGAATTTTTTGCTATGTTGGGTGGTTTCTGAATATTCTTGGGTTAGATGTCCTTATAATCTGCCATATTGGGTGGTACAATATCCTTATTCATGTGCTTTACAGATCAAGTTAATGTTTCTATAATTCTTTACACACTTATTATGTATGATGACTTACCTCTAGTTTATGTCTAATATTTCTCCAGCCTGAATTATAGGTGTTTGCACCTTAATGGTTTGTCTGTAGTCATATAATTTTGTTTTTGACCTTTGCGTTTTCTGGATGGTTCTTGTTCTTCTCCCACATAAATGCCATTTGAAAACATGTATGCTTCTTTTTAGACTAAATTTTCTTTTGTTATATTCAAATGTTTTCTTCTCTTCCAGGTACATGCTGTCCTCTACATGCCAACATGACTTCCTCAATCTTGCTATTTACTAGAATGATCTTATTTTCGTGATCACTTTCAGTCCATGAAATGTTTTTCTTGCAGCATTTCCATTTTTTGGTTCTTGTCAATTGTTCAAATGGAGGAGCTTAAATTGACCATATATTGGTGCTTTCTTGATGCATAAGCACTTCCCACTTTCAATTCGTATTAGCATCTTTGTAATGTTTTCTTTTGAAATATCTTTGGAGCAATGATTTCATGCAACCGTTGTAAAGTAATATGATGCAACAACCTTAAAAAACCATCTTATGGCCATTTGTTTGATCCAAATTTTGAAATATACACTCTTTTCATTCGAATGAATAATCACAAAAAAAGAAAATTTGAAAACACAACCTAGAAAGTATTTTTTTAGCCCAATTAACATAGGTCGTTTATTTTGGTGAGATGCTTAGATCTAGGCCTTAGAAGGATTTTTTCATTTCCAATTTTTTTTGAATGGCTTTATTATCATTAGATGAACAAAGTTAAAAAAGAAAAAAATGATTTGGAGTTTATAAAGGCTAAGATCTTGAAATTCACAAAATGAATGGTCTAGATTCGTTTTTGGAGGGGACTCATTTTGACCATATCTAGGGTTCAAATTGAACTTTTTTTTTTTTTGGGATTGATTATTGAGATGAAGAGACTGTGTGCAAAATTTGGGGTCATACAAATACCACAGACATGGTTTTCTAGAAGTGTCATTGCATTATACTATGATACAACCGTTGCATTTGATCATTGCTCATATCTTTGAGAAGTTTGAGTCTATGAGTAATTAATATCCCTATACATTGCTTATGCAGTTTTATTTTTACATGCAGGTGTGGTTTATGGGTGAATGCTCTCATATTTCTGTGGATTTTGATGATGTAAGTCTTCAAATAACTTGCCTATATTGTTGATTAGTATAGTACACTGCTTTCCTTTCCACTACTTACCTTTAGGTGGGCCCCGACCAAATTTGTCAATTTTTAACATTCAACTTTCTTGTTAACTCCCAGGACAAGAGCTTCACAAATTTTTATTTTGGCGGATTTGAGTTGGAGAATTGATTTAAATAAATCAGCATGTTCTTTTAATACTGCAACTTAATCTTTCATTAATTTGTTAGAAGATTCATTATTGAATTGCTCAAGATAATTATGCATATGGATGCAAGGAATGGTATATGGAATTGAGATTCAGGAATTTCCAGCTTGGAGGACCTAATTTTGGCCCATTTAATGGATATTTAAAGCATATTTTTTGGAACTTTTTGGGAAAGTATCATTTGATTTTATAGTAGTCCCTCGATTATTTTTCCTATCATGCGACATTAAAACTTAGAAATATCTATTATCCCGTCCCCTCATTACGTCTCTTCCCATCTTTTCTTATTTTTACCTCAAATAAGTGCCTTAACAAAATTTATATTTCTTACCCAATAAATCTTCTGTATCTCTTCCCCATCCCTCCCTCCTCTCGTCCATGTTGAGAGAGAGAGAGAGAGAGAGAGAGAGAGAGTAGTTCTACAACACTGACGAGGAGGAGG